TACTTGATTACTTTCTGACTTGTTCTTTTCCTGTAGTGGCCTGGGTTCCTTCCCTTGCAGTGCTAACAATGTTAAATGCTGACAAATTATTTAGAAAAGCCTGAATCAGTTAAATGATAATAGATTAAATTACAGAATTACATCCAATTAAAATAAACAGTATATCCTACGATGAAAAGAATACGCAGGTTCTTCATAAACTTGCTAAGATACAGAGATCCCCAGCAGAAAAGTAAGGTGAGGAAAACTAGGCTGGATGCATAGTCTGTTACATGCTTCACTGGTCCTACAAAATGTCTTATGTCTCCGCTTTAGCACCCATTGGAGAGGTGGATGTAAGAAGTAGTGGCAATCTGCTTGCATTCCTGTTCTGCTGCCAAAGCAGGTGCGCTGCTCCAAGCATTCCAGATTGCTGCCAGATGACACCCCGGGCTTGCGGTGCGGAGTTCATCTGATGCCAATACAGAAGACCTATTAATAGCATCGCCGTGCTCAGGGTGTGGTTTCACCCTGCATCTGATGTGAGGGCAGGCTGTCACACAGAGGTCAGTCTCGCCTTCCCCTCACCATCCCTGTCTGCCCGTTTCCCCCATGCCACTTGCATCACGTCTTGCAATTGTGCAGCAACAGCTGCTGGCTCAGCGTGGGGGCCTGGCGGCACAGCTACGAGACCTGACACAAGGCAAGCGTCAGCAGCGCGTGGCCTGGGACGGGATGAAAAGCGTAATTGTCTCCCTTTCAACAGCAACACACAACAACCAATGATTAGGTTTAATTTTCTGTCAGTTGTTCTTTGGAGAGCGATCCTATTCTCCCAAAATCAAAGTAATTTAATTCAAAATTAAGTGAAAAAATTAATGCTATCTTCAAACCTTAAAATGTCAGAGATCTTGTGACCATATTTTCTCCCTCTCAATTCCTTATTGGTAAAACAGAGATAACAATTCTCTTCAGTCCCATAGATGTACTATCAAGTTGGCTCCATTAATTCTGAGGCACTCAAGTAGTCTGGTGGGTATTTGTTTCTATAATACATGTGCTTCTGTGCTTTTGTCCCTCTTACCTTTTGAATACTGCATTTTGTAACCTGCCTCATCTCCTAAAAAGTGTTGTTTTTTTTTGTTTTGTTTTGTTTTTCTTACAAAATTATTACAAATTAAATACAGACACTTACTTAAATTCTCATAAGGTTAAAAAATCCGGGGGCTGAAGTAATAGCTCATATATGGTAAATATAGCTTCTGCTTTATCTTTGTCCATATATGATAAGAATACGTACCACATACATCTTGTTTGGAAATGATTCAGTGCAGGGCACTCTCCTGTGAACTGTTCTTTTCACTTCATTTCTAACTGTCAGTGTACTTAAGTAGAAACTGATAGTTCTGTTTCCAGTCCTCAGTTATTCAGGCCCAAATCCATCACACCAGTAATAAGAAGTTTTAAACCAGCTAGACCATCCAGTTGTGCACTTTTCTTTCCCTGTCTGCATACAGAGGCATACCAGCTTCCCACCAAGCTGGACACCCCTGCATTCAGAACAAGGGCAGCCACCTGCCTGCCTACCCTGTCAGGCAACCAAGAGTGTTCCCACTGGGGTGCAGGAGCCCAGCTTGGTCCCCTGGTAAAACCATGTCCTCTGGTAAATTCAGCAGGAGATGTAACTTTCAGTAAGGCATGCTTTTTTTCTTCCTGCTTTGCCGTTTCTACTTGAATTATGCCTAAAAAGACATTTCTGATAAGAAAGCTAGTGCTCATAGAAAGCCACATTATTTTTCTAAATTAGCCAAGAAGATGGACAAGCAACAAGTGATTCTAGAAGGTATAGTTACACTATACCATAACCATTGGGCAACTGCTTATTTTATTTATAGCAATGCTTTCCAGTTTCTGTTGCCTTTCTAAGAGGGAGTATTATTTTCATTGTCAAACTCACTGTACAGCAAGACTGAATTAATGTTTCATATAGGTTTTTTACATTTCATTTAAATAAGAAGATTTCCATATCAATGCAGTCTAAGACAAGGGCATATCTGTAGCACTTCCTTAAATGTCTTTGCCATGAATGGATTTACAGTTTTCACAATTTTAATATGTATTTCAAGGCAAATATTGAACATGAATGCAAATGATACATGCATATTTTACTATGGATTAAATGTTATCAAAAAATTCCATTGAATTTAGGATAATTTTTTGAACACACAGATAGAGATAACATATTTTGTCAGTGTAGTGCAACATGAACTACATACCTCGTTTTTATGGGTGGCATTAGAAGTTAAGTACCATAAACATCGGGAAACTCTAAGCTAGAAATCTGAAATAATTAAGAGGCATTCAGTCTTCTCATATCAAAGATGACTGTATGACAGAAAATCTTTTCCTCACAGTCAGGAAAGCTAACAAATTCCAGACACTTGGGAGGGTTCTACAAAGGAAGGATTTTTGGCTTCTACTTTCAGCATATTTCACATTTTTAGGCAAGCTTACACTCTTTTTCAGCCAATGAAAATGGCTATAATCTTACACCATTTTCACTTTTTGCCTAAACCTTTTTGTCACCACTTATACTGACAAGAAGTAAAACGTGACGACCTGTTTCTCAGGTAGAAGTCTGGTCTTTGAAAAGCGGAACTTGCTGTTAGCAATAATCATTTAAGTACTGAAATGTTTCTCACAAGGCGTGGCAAAAGAAGAGTTTTACTCCAACCTGACGCAAATCATATAACAGGCATATGAACCATTTTGTGTTTTTTTTTTGTTTTTTAAATTTCCTGTAAAATATTAGAAAGATCTTTTGAGCTGATTCATAATGAACTTATTTCCTTTGAGCACTGCACTTTGCTTCATAATATAAGTTTTCTTTCCTTCAAAGAAATCAAACAATAAAGGCACAGATCCTCGGCTGTATTAAGGTCTAATTGTGGTGCTAGTTGCAGGTCTGCAGGTTACAGACACAGACTGGAGCAGGGTCCCCTAGAGCAGGCTGCCCAGCACCACATCCAGGGAGGGGTTGAATATCTCCAGAGAAGGAGACTCCACAACTTCTCTACGCAGTCTGTTTGAGTGCTGGCACCCTCACAGTAAAGATTTTCCAGTGCTAATCATTATGCATGTGCACATGTTGGCTCTCTCACGTTATCTTCTGTATCTTTACCTTGCCTGGAGAATGCCTATTCCCAGGGAACAAAATGAAAAGTGTAGAGCTAGGGAATAGAGGACAGTTTTGTGCCAAGGTTGTGTTGTTGTTGTTTGTTTGTTTGCTTGCTTTTATTTCTTCAAAGAGAAGTCTACTGCTCTGAAATTGGGTGATACAAAGGATTGTAGGATGCTTTAGCTTTTGTCACTTTGGAAGCACCTGAAGATAAGGCAAAAAAAAAAAGAGTCCAGTGTCCAAGCCATGTAAAAACACAACCAATAAAATCTTTCATGACAGATAATGTGTATGTCTGTGGTTGAGGAAATATCTTTTAAAACATGAATGGAACATAGATAAGAACTATAAGTAAGATTAATTTGAGACTGTGGTTCCACAACCACTCTATTGGATTTTGAAGCTAGCCAATGCACATGATGCTGAGTTTCTGCTGTCTTTATGCTTCCAAGACAGCTTTGCCTGACAGCAGACAGACAAAAAATACATGTCCAACATAAAGCCAGTAAACCCATCCATTTGTTACTAAGAAATCAGAACTGGGAGTGTAACTTTGTGCTGATACTTCATACTTAGTACTTATTACTTCACACTGTATTTCCTTCCATGGGAGGAAAACTTCCACCCGCAGTTCAGCCTCATTGTCTCACTGAACAGATAAAATACATGACACGAAGAAATGAATACTTTTAGATACATTATAATGAACTGCGGATGACGGCCAGCCACCTCATATCGTTACTTGCACTAAGGTAAATTAAATTCTGCAAACTAAGCTTCTCCCTTGTATGACGTTGTTACACCACACCAGTTCCTGAGTAGAAAGTGTCAGACTTGTTGTGGGTAGGCTCCAGCTTTACATGAAGGTTCCCTTCTGCAGATAACCCTCAGCACTGAAACTGCTGTACGACAGCTCACACCATGGCAATGGCTGGGCAAACCAGAATGACAGCCATCATATTTAGTGACAGAACAAACCAAACCAGGGGAATTCCTTTCTGTCAGTAACCTAAAAGTCTTTCAGGGACTTCAAAAGGAGCGTGTGCAAACACTATCTTGTTTCACATGCAGGGTTGATGGACAAATTGAAACATTCACGTTTCAATTACGTTCACCTCTGATACTGCAATACAGTTCTCAAAGTGTGGCGTGCGTAACCAGATGCAAATATTAAGCAGTTCCCATCATCAAATACGAGCGAATTCACGGCGGTGTGCGTTCCCAGCAGGCAGTATGTAAACAAAAATGCAGCATGCTTGTTCTGAAGGCTCTGCACTCAGAAAGTGCGCCCTTCCCCACAGCTGGCCAGACTCCTGTGAAATTTTTGAAGTCAGCTTGAAAACAAACAAGCAAAAAAAAACAACCGGCAAGCCTTTCCAGATTTGCAGTAGGGCAGAAACCCCTCGAATCGGGTTTTTGTTTGGTTACAGTTTTTAACACGCAAGCTCTGCGGCAGCCGCCCTGCCAAATTCGCTTCCCGCGCGGGCTCCCGATGAGGCGCTGCGGGGAGCCGGGCGCCTCGGCAGCGCCTCAGGGGAGGGCTTGTGGCGTGTGCGGAGCCCTGCCGCGGCCGGAGCCGGCGGCACACGTCGTGGGATGTCGTGGGCTCCCCCTAAACCCCCTACTATCGCGACAGGCGCAACAGAGGCACGATAGCGGGGGGGGCGGCGGGGAGACGCCGCCCGTGAGGGAGGGCGCGGGGAGATGGCGGCGGGAGGGGAGATGGCGGCGGGAGGGGAGATGGCGGCGCCGCCCCGCGCCGCTCCCGCCCGAGCCGAATTTAAACTGCGCTGCCAGCCCTCGCGCAAGGCACCAACGCGGCCCGAGCCCGCGCGCGCCTCTCGCCGTTCCCGCCCGGCGGCCAATCGTGGAGCCGCTTCGTCCCCCTCCCCGCCAATCGGGGCGCGGCTTATTGCGGGCTGGGCGAAGCGCCCGCCGCCGAGCTGCGCTCCTGGCGCGGGGCAGGCGCGTCCCCCCCTCGCCGCGCTTTGTTGCCGCCTCTCCCGGCGGGGCGGCGGCGGCGGCGGCGATGCCCGAGTTCCTGGCCGACCCGTCGGTGCTGACCAAGGAGAAGCTGAAGAGCGAGCTGATCGCCAACAACGTGAGCCTGCCGGGCGGCGAGCAGCGCAAGGACGTCTACGTGCAGCTCTACCTGCAGCACCTCACCGCCCGCAACCCGCCCGCCGCCGCGCAGCCCGACTTCTCCAGCGACGAGGAGCGGGAGCCCACGCCGCTCGGACCCCGGGGCCGCGGGGCCGCCGCCGCCGGCAGGGTGAGTGCCGCGCCGCGCCGCGCCTCACGGCCGCACGGGGCCCGCCCGCCGCTCCCCCGGCGGCCGCTGGAGGCGCGGGGCCGCTCCCCGGGGCTGAGAGGGGAGAAGCGGGGCCGGCTCGGCCCTCCCCGGGCCGTGTGGGGCGTCCCCGGCCCCCCGGGGGAGCCCCGAGGCAGCGGCGGGTGTGCGAGCGGCCCCACGTGGAAGGGGGAGGCTGCGGAGGGTAGCGGCGTGTTGGGGTTGTGGGGAGGGCGCCCGCTCACCGGGGCTGCCTCTCCGGTGCGCCCCAGCACATTGCTTTGTAGCAGTGCCGCTGCTCGGCGTGCTGCCCGCCAGCCGCTGCACGCTTTCCCGAGACCTCGCTTTTAATATCGCATACATGTAAGGGAAAAGATGGGAGCCTCTTAAAATCTTTCCCTCTAGGGAAACATGTTTTCCCTTTTATATTTTCACAAGTACGCTGTGAGTTTGCATGCACTAAGAAAGCTTTTTTTATTCGTAATTTAAAGGAGAGCGCGCTGTCTGCTCTCACGCAAAGGTTTGTACAGTGATTGCCAGCTACTGGAGTTAAGATTTGTGTAACGCTACAAGTGTTTAATTCTCTGAAATACTATCTTTAAAAGGCCATTTGTAAAGCAGGAGCAGAGGAAACAGGCTCTTTAAAAGATGTTTCATACTTCAAGTTTTTTAAAGGGGGGGGAAGAAAACAATGGTTGGTGAGTTAAGAAACTGGAAATTGCAACTAAAACAAGATTTCTAACTAAACTACTTATCTCTTTTTCCTAACATCTGCTCAATTCAAACACTTGACTAATGTTCACTGGAGTAACTTTATATTGAACTAGACATTAATGTAACTTACAGTAGCCTGCCTGTAGCATGTTCCAGGTGTTTTCAAGTCTAGTAGGCTGTTTGAATCTGGCATGTTTCACAGCCTGTAGGAGAAGAGAATAGAATCATTAGGTAGATAGAATCATTAAGGTTGGAAAAGACCTCCAAGATTATCTGGTCCAAGCGTCCCCCTACCACCAATGTCACCCACTAAACCACGTCCCTAAGCGCCATATCCAGCCTTTCCTTGAACACTCCCAGGGATGGTGATGCAATCGCTTCCCTGGGCAACCTGTTCCAATGTCTGACTGCTCTTTCTGAGAAGAAACATCTCCTCATTTCCAACCTAAATATCCCCTGGTGCAACTTGAGGCCATTCCTTTTAGTCCTGTCACTGGTTATCTGCAAGAACAGGCCGACCCCCAGCTACCCACACCTTCCTTCTGGGTAGTTGTAGAGAGCAGTGAGGTCTTCCATGAGCCTCCTCTTCTCCAGACTAAACAACCCAAGTTCCCTCGGCTGCTCCCCATAGGACTTGTGTGTTCCAGGCCCTTCACCAGCCTCGCAGACCTGCTCTGGACATGTTCCAGGGCCTCAATGTCTTTCTTGTACTGAGGGGCGCAAACCTGAAAAACAAAAGTCTTAACTACTAAAGTTCCAAGATGTTTTTTAACCTCCTTTTCCTGTGCTTGAGCTTAAACAATTGTGGGTGACTTCTCTGTTTGCAGAACGGGTGTTACCACTACACTTCTGTTAATAACTGCTGTAAGGTGCTGCGCTGTTTCTGCTAGTGCTGTGTGTTAATTTCAAAGCAGAGTATCGTCGTGTTCCAAAACTTCACTGACTATGCTAGTGGCATTTGTTTGGATTTGGGTGTTCTGTGTCCTGTCTGAAGCCTGACATCCAAGGGAGTGGGATTCTGTTATGGAAACGAAGTGAAATATTTTGATAAGACTAAGAGGGGACAGGAGGGAAAGCACTTAGGCTTCTGAAAGAGCATGGGGCAAAGGGAGGATATTGAAGCTATGAGGCATTATGGAATAGATAAAGGAATACCATATTTCCTGTAAGTGTCTTTGTAGGACCTGGAAACAAAGGCGGATTCAGCATCCTCTATCTTGTCTTTATAACTGTGTTGTTTTGTCTTCAGTATTTTGGTTAGGTGCACGCTTAAAAGGACCAGCGAACAGTTTGCGCTGCATGCGTAAGGAAATAGAAGTGTACTCTATAACTTGCACTGATACAACAGGACAAGCTGCATTATTTTTAGGCTGAGATGAGACCAACAAAGCTGCAATGCTTTACTAGTTCTGTTTTTTTATTGAAGGTCTTAGAAATTGTAATATTTGTTTGTGTATATGGAGGGGGACAACGTAAACTGGCTGTTTTAAACCTTTAGGCAATCAACTTGACAAAACTGTAAAGATATTTCTTCTTCTCCTATGGGATTAAGAAAACAGTGGGCTACCGTTTCCTGTATCACTGCTGAAAGTTGGAGTACTGCTCAATTTGAAGATTACAAAAGTCTCTCCCATCCAGGTGATTCAGTCGAGGCTAGTACGAACTTGTAAAAACGGTGAGAGAGCACTTAGGTGGATTTGCATGTTGGAGGGTTCTCTCTCACTGTGCTTTTTTTGTGTATTTCTTTGGGCATACCTTAACGTAACACAAGCATTTAATAACAAATCTGTCGCTGAATTCTCACTACCGCTGTTGGCTGAGCGAATGCCTGATGCACGGAGGGAGAGAGGGGCCAGAACAGTGCCTGGAACAAGGAAAGGAGCGCTTTGAGCAGAGAGAAGCAATGCAGGCGGGAGACCTCACCCCCTGCCTTCCAGGGCTTGCCCTCAGCCATCCCGGCCCTCTGCACCCTCTGCCCGCAGGGACCCAGCCGCGGGCCACAAGGGGTTGCCCGGGCGGGGCGACGGGAGGCGGGCACGGCATGGGGCGGGGGGAGGCCGCCAGGGGGCGCGGCGGGGAGGGGTTAAACTGTAAAGAGCTTCTCTGAGCTCTGGGTGTTTGCTAATGCATTCAGGTGTACGTTGCTCTGGATCTTTATCAACAGGGATTAAGAATAAAAACACTTTCATTCTCCTGCTGCAACTTGGATCTTTTAAATCCGCTGCCATTCCAGCACAGCTTTATCAATACTACGTCCCAGTTAACTTTCTCAAAATGAATAAAAACTTTAGTGTATTAATGATATATCGGAGGACGGCAAGTTTCATGCACCCATAGTGCCTGGTCTTGTTTCATTTATATTTATGTGAGTTTTAGGACTAATTTGTTCTGATACAGTAGTGAATGTACAGGTGATTAACGTGACTGTATGAGCAGATAAAACCTTAAAGGGGAGTTGTTCTGTAAATGGTATTTTTAGGACCTGAAGATACCACACTTTGGAACAATAAACTCCTTAGGCAGTTAGTGTATTTTTTTGGAACCTGAATGTCACAAATAGACTACTGTAATGTAGTAAGATCTTGCATCTCCTCTGAAACTCATTTCCTTACATGTAATGTGATGCAGTAAGAACTTCTGTTGCATGTGCTGCACTCTGCTTTGCACAAGGTGACTTTAAGTGCTGTGAAATACATAAAACTCCCCAAATCAAAGTCAGGAAAAAATGTCATCCCAAATACATTGCTTAAAATAACTTTTCCTGTGAAATATTTGAAAGTGTCTTTTTAAGTATGGACACTTCTGTAGATGTAACACCTCTTGGGTATGTGGCAGGGGGGCTCACTGTAGCTATACTGTTTACCAGGAGAGGAAAAGGCTTTTAAAAGAATGCTCTTGGGGAATGTGCTTTCTGATGATGTCCAGAGTATCCAGCTTCTCCTGATTTCTACTAATGTATATGGAGTTTTTGTTTGTTATTCTTCAGTGTTTTTTTTTTTTTTTTTTTTGAGGGGGGTAAGGGGTATTTGTCCTCCTATTTAGCACACTGGTATGTGAGGACAGTGGCTGGTATGAGACACCTTGCTGCAGAGGGAACCATCTGCATCTGGATGATGCTCATGGTGCTAGTTGATGGTGACCTGAATGTCAAGACAGACAGCTCAAAGCAGAAATAACTACAAAATAGCATTTTTGCCCCTGGAAGAGCATTGTTTTAAAGTACGTACCAAAAAAATTACTTTGACATCGCTTCCAAACAGGAGCTATTCAGACCTCAGAAGATGTAGTTTTTTGACTTTGGTTACTGATGCCTTTCATGTCTCCCTGGAAGAATTTCTTCTGAAAGTGATATAAATATATATATATTTTTTTACCTTTAAAGTGGTGATCTGAAGAAAATCAGTCAGATATCTTACTTCCTTAGATGAAGGTATAATGACGTTTGGACCTGAAGGGCCTATTTGAAACTTTACAGGCGATGCCTATCAGATGTTTTTTTACTTTTTGTTTTGATTAGGTAGCCACATAAACACAGAGCTAGCATCTGTGCTTAGTGGTGTAGTTGATACATAATATCTGTAGCTGATATAAGTATACAGTATCAATCCCTTCCCTGTTGGAAAGGGGCAGAATAATAGGTCCAGATGCTTAGTAAGATGAAGAGTGTGGAAGGTGGGACTGCATTCTTGGGTAGGTGAGAGAATGTAAAGTTTATGTGCTACCTGGTGACAAAAGAGGATCTATTTGATGTTTCCTATATGGTTGTATCTCCTGATGACGATGTGTTGTACAAATGTGACCCAGAGTACAGATCAGCACCTCAGTGGGCTTTTAAATAGCGCTCATCTGCAGTGTGAGTGACTAATTCCCACCTCAGTGAGAAGTCCTGCTGGGCTCTTCTGCACCTCAGACTTTCTGCAGCTGTAGGATCTTGAACTTGGGGGGGCACACTTCTTAGTGTGCTGTTATAAGAACAGCAGCCGTATTTAAATAAAATGTGCCCAAGTGTCCTAGTGAAGCAATTCTGTCTAGCACTGCATGTCAGGTCAGCAGGGACAGAGACAAAAGTTGCATTTCCAGGTTCACCTGGTTGAGACCAGGGAGCATCTGAGTTTGGTTTCTTGATTTGCTTCTTGTTCTGAATTTTTACTTTTTCACCAGAGGCTGTGGTGAAACAACTCTTCACCATGCAGCATTGATCTGCTTTCAGAGCAGATACATTCCTTTTGCTGAGTAATGTAGAGTTTAGTGGCTGGGGAGGAAGGAGTGGGAGGGGTAAGTAGTCCCTAGTCTTTTCGTTTAGGACTGTTACCATACATAGGCATGGAAATTCAAGTCTGGTGTGTACTAATGAGGGTTAAAAGGTAGAGTTCTCAAAGCTGAGTTATCAGCATCCCTGAATTATTGCTGCAGAACTTCCTTTCTGTTGTTTGTTTTGTCTGCCGAGTAGCTTTGTAAATATTATACCAGAGTCCAGGAGGACTTAGTTTAAAATTAAATTTTTCTGCAGCAGAAAACTTTATATGATTGAATAAGAAGCCCTCTATTTCCCTGTGCAAGTGTGTTATTGAGACTTGGTAACTGCTGTTCCTTATCTTTTCCTGAGGAGAAATAACTAGTTGCTGCCAGAGATGACGCTGTACAAATGGAGAATTAAAGAGCATTCTGTTGACATGATCTGGGCTTCCTTAGCCTGTCTTAACCTCATTCAGAGAAATAGTAAAGAAGCCTTAAGCCTTTCTGCTGCTGGTGTTGAAGCTGCACCTGTCTACAATTAAAGCCCTTGAATATCCTAGTGTAGGGGCAGTTTAAGTCAAGATTTGAAAATACTTTGACATCCCATAGTTTTGGTATTATTCAGTGACTTCGTGGATGTGTTAGTTCTTGTTTGGTGGACTAGTGCTAGACGTAGTAAAAGTAGTAGTATGGTCTGTCTGACAAACTGGTGTTGGATTTCTATTCTGAAACTGAGCCTGACAGATATGCTACCAAATGGCTATCTATTTGACATGAACAAATCTCTGCCTAGCGAAGTGTGCTGATCCTCTTCCATCTCCTTCCTAGAAAATCGGCATGACTGGAATTTTTTTAATGCTGCTAGCTCTGGTTGGGATTACAAGATCTTCAGGTAAAGATTTATTAGTCTGAGTACAACACTGTAAGAATATTTACAGTATTACAGGCAAAGTGATTAGACGTTACTTCAGCAAATTCTGGTATTCACCACAATTTCATTTTAAACACTTACTCTGCACCATAGTAAGACTTTAATTTTACTGAATGACACCAAACCAGGAAAATGTTTTCTTATTTTTCTTTGTATTTGCAGTGATAGATCAGAAAAAACCTGCAATAAAAGTTGTCTCACAGGATAGTCCCATGAAAAAGTTGTGATGCACAGAAAGTGTAGTGGTGCATTGTAGTATGATTGTGGTAACTTGAGGTTTATGTGGTTGTACCATGGACAAGGTATGTGAGACTTTTTCCTGTCTTCTAGAAGTAGTCTCTGCTTCTAGGGACTAATCCTATGGACTAGTAAGTGGTTAAATGGCAGCTTTGTACTTGTACAGGTGAAATCATTTGCATCTCCTTTAAGGAGAGTAGGTATTCAAAAGTAAAAGTTTGAGACCTCACAGAACACAAGGTAATCAATGCATTTGGTCCTGTTACTGAAGAACACAATTACCTTCAACTGTTCGTCCCTCCACTACCCTCTTTTCTGCTGAAACTGGATATTCTCATGGTCTAGATTTGTGTTAATGCAAAAGTGAAACAAAATCAGACAAAGTGAAATGGTATTTGGAAGAAATGTATTAAAGATACTGTAGGATGTGAGTTCACTTGCATTGGAGGATGTTACTACTCATAAGTTGCAGTTAGATTTCTGTAAATTAACTTAGTAGAATGCTGTGTAGTTCTTCTGGTATATATTTTCAAAGAGTATAGCCTCTTTTGTGGCCAGTAAGAGATACAAAGGCAATGATAAATTAAAATGGTTCCAGTTTCTTTAATGGGGTGTTGCAGTATTGACTTGCTACACCACGCTAGTTGTCTTCTGAAATACCCAAGTATCATCCTAGTTAATCTGACTTGTGACATGTGCAAACTCTGGAGCTGTCAATAATATAAACAGATCTAACAAGAAAACCCAGCATGTGTTTTGGAACTCTTCCACTGTTTGTACAGGTCAGTAGTTGAGGGGAAAAAGTCCAGATATGAAATTCTTGTTATACAGTAATACTATTTGATGTTAAGTGTGACCAACAGATTCACAAGTAAAAACAAGTCTCCTGTAGTTGCAGGTTGGTTACTTTCTGATAAGTGGGTTCAGTTATTTCAAATAATAATTAGATTTTTATGTGGTAAAGAAACTGCATTTATCTTAATCTATATCTAAATTTATATCTAAAGATTTATCTCACTTGATCAGTCATTAGTCAGTTCTACTACCTCAGTGATCTTATCCTTTCTTCAGACTTCTTGGAGTCTGTTTCTTGAGAATCTTAAGTTCTTAGATTCTCGTTTTTCAACAGTTAATTTTAAGTTCATCATGCCGGCATTTTCACAATCCAGGAGTTAAGGAAAAATCTAACTTAATTACAGAAACAGTTATGCTGGAAATCCTTATAGTTGTTTAGCATTAAATATCAAGACCAAGCTTGTATGCAAACCAGTATTAAACTGGCACTAATGGCTAGGTAGGTATTGTTGACTTGTATTGATGATCTTCTTACAGTCTTACAGTGATATCTTACTAAATACACCAAGAAAAATGTTAATTGTGAATGAATATGACAACATACTTGCATTTGGAATTTTAGGGTCTTCAGTAAGTACCAGAAGAGCTATTTGGATCTTTAAGTTGAATTACATTAAGTGTATAATTGATATGTTTATATCTTCCTACTTTGAGATAGTGCTTAGAAGTAAGTTATATTTCTATTGGATTTTCTCATAGTTGGGAGCAAGCAGTTCCCGAGCATATTTCTTCTGTCATACCTCATCAATCTTGCAGATCTTGGAGCCTAGAAATGTCTATTGTAGTAACAACACTTGTTCAACTTGGGAAGCCTTCATGATCACTCTGTTTGGATATCATGGAAACTGCTAATTTGGGAGTAACATCTTGGCAGATTATTTTGATAACCATCTGTATGTGGTGGTGGTGTATTGCCAACTGTTCAAGTGTGTTGCCAGAGTTGTGTTTGCAAGATATAGCAAGAATAGAGCTTTATAGCAAGAATATATATATTCTTAATATATTAATCTTAATATATTCTTATATACACACATATATATATATATAATAGAAAATATATAGCAAGAATAGAGCATTTATAGCAAGATAGAGCTACAGTAGCAGTGGCCTAGGCAGGCAGGCTTTTCAAAATTTGAGGGTGTTCTTGGCTTTGCCTTTCTTCTACTTGTTTTGTAACGTTGTGTCCTCTGAGATTGTTCTCTGTGAGATTACAGTAGGAGAAGAGAGGGAGTAGGCATTTGGGGAACTTGGATGGGAGGGTGTGAGAACTGAGGGACCTCCTCTTCATTAGAGGAAGAGGTATCGACCTGCTAGGTAGAAGGATAATGCAAAATTGCTAATGGAACACAAATACTTACTGTTTAGTGCTGGTTAAATGTCTAGTAGTTTCTCTCTCCAGTTATTGGAGAGAAACTCTCTCCTGTTGTATACTTCAAATTAAAATATGTGATCAGAATAATGAGTAAGGTTTTTTTTATTATTAAAGAGGCATCTTTTAATGGTTATTTCCCTTTATGAGTAGGAAACACTTGTTTATTTAGTAGGAATAAATGGTTCAAAGGGTTTCACATATGCTTTACTTTCAGTTGAGGTATGTGTGAATATCATTGCTTTTCTGGACTCTCATAGCTCCCCGTGCTCTCATAATAATAATAAAATATTAACTGGAAACATTTTGCCTTTTGCTTTTTGCAGAAAGCCACGAAAAAAACTGACAAACCTAGGGCAGAAGAGAAGGATGACCTAGATATAACAGAGCTGAGTAATGAAGATCTTCAAGAACAACTTATGAAGTATGGAATAAATCCTGGCCCAATTGTAGGTAGGTCAACTGAAGTAGCTAAAATGTTCACCTGTTGAATGTGTTGATCTCTAAACTTCGGTTCTGAGTACCCTGAGCTTCTCTGATTTGGTTGCTTACATAACCAGTATTGTTATAGTCTTGTGTTTTGCTGAGGATGGGATGTTTTCATTGAACTATTTACACAGAAAATGCTTGAAGCACTCCTGTGTAGGAAAATCCAGTTTGTTCTGTATATTCTAGGCCAGCTGTACGTGTTCCAGCTTCTGTTTTGAAGCTATGTAACTACTAAAGTTTAGCAGTGTGGTAATAAGGTTTTCTGGTACAGAGGTTGATCTTGAGCCTGCTTAAATGCAAAATATGTCTTACATAATAATATCTTATTATTCGAGAGCAGAACAAGAACAGAGAATTTGCCCTTCTTTAGAGCATTTCCTACTCTGCATTGTGCAGAAATCTTTTCCTTGCTTATTTCTTTTCTGGCCCCTTGAACTTTGCATGCCATCCTGTGTGCTGACCTACTTCAGCAGGAGGAACAGGGAGAAGTCCCCACCCCAACTTAATCTCCTGCCTTAGGCAGTCTCCTGTGTTACAAGATCAAAGCTCCTTGCCTTAAGACTGTGTGCTGACCTGATAGCAAGGTACTTTGATTTCACAGCTCTTCAGCAGAAGATGGTCTGCTCTAGCATGCAAGGCCTTTTGTAGAATGTTTGAAATACGGAGTGAAAGTGCCAGTGGTAGAGCCTGGAGTCCTGCATGCATTCAAATAGTCTTCTATGCATAATACTTTGTTAGCTGTTTCTGTATGTTTTCCCATTCGATTTCTTTCTCTCAGATAACACTTAAGCCTTGTGGAAAATTCAAATACCTCTGCAGTCTACTAGAAATATGTTTAGAAAAATGTTAAAGTTTTTCATTTTTAAGTAAATGCCTTAGTTTTTACAGCATATGGATTCTGTTTCTTGTGAGTCTTCTACTTCTTAAGAATGGCTTCCCCTTTGAAGTTTTCTGATAAGGTTGGACTCTTGGCTGCTAGCAGTGTGGGCACTGGTCACTTCTACAGATTTTTGCCTGCCCAATCCTGATATGAGAGTGTGTAATTATTCTTTGTTTTAACCATTGTCCTGTCAGGTTAGGTGAGCCATCCGAACAGCTAAATGTGGGAAACAAGAGGTTCTGTTTTTGCTGCTTGCTTATACTACCTCTGCTTATTGGGCTGAATTTGCTAGTAGGCCAAATGTTAAATTAGGAGAAAGTATGTTAATTCCAGGATAAAGAGGTTAAGGGGATAGTGGAATCTGCATGGACACTTACCCTCACGAAATTCAGTGAGATAGACACTGCAAGGGCATGACAACTTGCATATCGTGGCAAATGAAACAAAAAATCTGAAAAGCAGTTATCCTTCTCTAGACAAATGCTTGTAATACTCGGTTTGCTGACAGATCTAAGCTTGTCTTAATTTTCTTGAACCAAAAATTCAGAAGCCTTAGAGGTAGCATATACCTCCAGGTATATGATTCTTTAGGTCATACAGACTGATTAAAAATAGAAAACATGTCTGGAAATTCGCAAGGGATTATATAACAGTCATGTTCTAGCAGTCATCAGGAGACTAAAACTGCATCTGTACCATGTATCTTTACTTGCTACAGCTACAACTAGGAAACTTTATGAGAAAAAGCTGTTGAAACTGATAGAGCAAGGTCCAGATTTGAAGTCATCCATGCCTCTGCCAATGATTTCTTCAGCTACTGAGAACACCAGACAGAATGGAAGTAATGATTCTGACCAGTACAGTGACAATGAAGAAGGTAAGACTGAAGTGGAACTTGCATGTGAACTATTCAAATTATACATAAGTAATACTAGAAGTAGAAGAAATATCTAAAGAGGGTATGATCTGTTGTTGAGGCTTTAATATACCATTGTAGACCATGTGATAAGTATACTTAATCATGGAGTGCTAGCACAGTGATCTAGGAGCCTGTTCTGGGAAAGGACACTTCAATTGTAAAATGTTCCCTTCTGTTTGTCCATTTTTCACATGGAGCTGAGCCTGTAAATCTGGTTCCAGTTCTCATTGCACCTTGCCTATGAGTTTTGTATTACAGTGCACCCAGTAGTTATCTTCTTTAGGGGATAGTCTATAAATGTTCATTAAATTTCAGTACATCAAAGGTATTGTTTAATGTGCTCCTTGTATATGAGTTTCTTGTGTATGACACTTTTTTACGTTCTGTTCCTTATGGACATAGCTTGGGTTGAGTTGATTTTTATTTTTGGGATGTTTTAATATCAAGTGATTTAAAAAAAAAAAGTATCGGGCAGGAGAGGTGGGACTTAAAACACCATCACACATTACAAAAAGTAAAAACAAAAAAAGCTCTAAGAAATATATTGAATGGAATGTTTGAAGATGATTATTTTCTGTGGTTCATGGTGATTAGTGTAGTTCTGTGGATTTTTTTTATAGAAACATACAGAGATGGAGCATAAGGGATTGAAATACAACTGGGAAATCAATTGGGTCTGCTTTGTATTGTTGTGCTTGCTTTTGATCTTTAATTTCTTGTACTTGGTGGCGGTGATGGGGTGGTTAAAGGGTTTTGTTTTTGTTCTGAGATAGTCAAGACTCCAATTGTAACTTGACAGCTGTCTCCATCTAATTACCAAACTGTTCAAACATTGAAGGAAAAATGAAAAGTTTCCATATATTCAGGCTTAAAAGGCCTAGGGGATGTTGATAACTGAACTTGAGATCTGGGGTGTAATGCTGTTAGTGTTTTAGTAAGGGGAGTGGAAGTGATGCATCCTCTTACTGGTGAGATGACTGCTAACCACTTGCAATTCTCTTGCATCAAAAAGGAGTCTTGTATAAGTACCTATTCTAAAGGAGACTAAACTCGCAACCTAAAGCAGTGTTGAAAGCTTCAGTCCCCTTACTAAATAGTATGAAGCTTTGTTAAAGCAATTGTGACATGGTACCAGTTCCTAAATGGAACTGCTGGATTAGTCAAAGCTTATTTGAGGTGTAGGATTATTTTTTTTTAAGGATAGAAGTGACATACCTGGGTCAGAACTTTGAAATAACATTATTCTTCAGGAGGCTTAGTTCTTCTCCATTCAGTGGAAAAACTTAACCTGTACTTCACAACTTTTTTTTTTTTTAAGGAAACAGTTCATAACAGTAATGCTGTCTTAAAATGATTTTTTGGTACTAATTTAAACCAAGTGTAGTTTATTAACCTGTAGTAATATAAAAAAATTATTAAAACCACTTACAGATCCGAAGACTGAGCTGAGGCTTGAGAAGAGAGAACCGCTGAAAGGCAGGACAAAGACTCCAGTAGCACTCAAACAAAGAGTTGTTGAACACAACCAGGTATGCTTCATTTAATGGCATCTAGAACAGCTACTAACTGCAGGCAGCGTGCTTACTAAATATAATCACACTTGATAAAACAGCCAATACTGTTCTCAAGTTTTCTTTTTCTTAGCCTATTCTAATACAGCATGAAAATCCTGTGAATTAACTACAGCTGCTGGTTTTTGCCTGTATGATAACATTCAAAATAATGGTCTTCTAAAAACTGTCAGTCTCTCTTGCTAGCATCTGTAGCTCTACCAGGTCAACTATAACATGTTTAGCTTTGGAAGCCTGACAGAAAATAAGTCAGAGGTACTTGTGTTGTCCTGTTGTATGTTTGTGGAGAACTTGACTTAATAAAAGGAACAGTTTCCCAAACAAAAGATTTGGAAAACATTTCCAGTCTTTTTTTTTCTGAGAAATATTTTTAAATACCAGAAACATTATATTTCTATCTATTTTAGTATCTATTTCTATCTCTAAATGTATGCGTTTATAAATTCATATGTTTATAATTGAGTTAAATATAACAATCCATAAAGCCATGTACTGCTTTATATATATGCACATAAATAAATACAGGCATATACAGACATGCAGCATTACTGGAGTAGACAATTCATTGGCAAACTTCTCCTTAGAAGAAAATAACTAGTTTGAATCTCACTGTATGTACTCGTTGTCTTTAGAAATACTATCATTGGTTCCCTTGTCCTAGTGAAAGAAGGATTTTACAGAAGCAGCTCAAAAGCCTTGGATTTGGTGACTGGTGGCTGATCTGTCCTTACAATGTGACAGTATCAGTAAATAAAGTGTTGCACAGCTTAGATTACTTAGGATATTTACAGCAGTACTCATCTGACCACTAAGTAGCAGAGTTGTCCTACAGTAAGGACTTGTCCAGAAAACATCCTGGAGGGGCACAAAACCTAACCTGCTAATAGTTTGATATTAGCAGATCAGTATCTTAGTGAATCAGTCTTGTCTGAGTACTCTGTAGTATGGTAAATGCTAGATTCTTCCTATTCAGATGATATGTGTATGTATCAGCTTTCTTTTACTATAGATATTTCTTAAAGCAGGTAACACACAGCTGTGAGCTACCCAAGCTCACAGCTGTGAATGTACAGAACCAGTTCTGCATATTTTTGACTGGCTTCTTAAGGATACAGGCTAAACTGATCTCACTTCTACAAATCAAAACAAACACATGGTTCGATATACAATGCACAATACATGGTTCAATTCACAAAATCAGTATTCATTATTCAGTCAATTTCATCTCGTGATGGTGTTTGTAATGGGCATCTGGATTATAAAGTTCTTGTACTTCTAGGATTACTGTTTTGTAAGTTGCTATCTACCCCCAAATCCCTGCTAGCCTCAATATGTTAGCTGCATTACATGTAAATAACTATCAACAAACAAAGCTTCATAATCTTTGGGAACCCATTTCCTTTTTATTCTGTATTTTCAGGGCATTTTTTAAGTGATGAGGGCTTACTTTCGCTCTTGTTCATCCAATTTCAATGTAATAACATTATGTTATTACTATTTTCTCTTCTAATCTTTTTCATGAGTAGTGTAGATACAATGTTTTTGCTCCTTCTGTATTTTACTAATTAGTAGTTAATGTAATATAACTTGATTAATCCAAAAAGGTATCATTTCAAAGTGGTGACACACTTCTTCAAGAACTCTCTAGCTTGTTCAACCTTTGAGCTCCTGACTGCTGTTTTTTTTTTTTTTTTAAAAAAAAAAACAAACAGTGCTTTATAACTGCATGAAGCCAAGAGGATGCAAAACCCCATGTCTTGGGCCAGCAAATACATAGCCGTGCATTTTGCTGAGAATGAAACTGGAAGATGGGGAAAATCATAACCTTTATTTTCCCCTTCTGTGAAATTAAATCTTAAGGTCACAGCTTGTCAATTAACTATACTCATTCTACAGAGTTATATGCAACTTGTGTTTGCTGTGTGGCACTGGATCTAAGACTGGGGCTCTGAAGAGTGGTGGGCCTGGACTGGTTGGCAGTGTGGTGTTAACTTGTGAGACACTTCTAGGTCCTGTGCAGTACTATTCTTAGCCTAGAATAGTGAAAGGATTGTCTGTCATCTGGTGCTGAAGACTTGGCACTTAAGGATGTTGCTTTTCTCTTTTCTTAAAAGAGTGCAAGTAAGTCTTAGAGCAGGCTGGTTGCAACAGAAATTGGGTGGGGAGGGTCTTATTAGTTGGATAGCAGTGGAGGACTAGATGAACTTGAGCTCAGTTCTTTGTGCGTAATTGCCTGCTTATTGTAAACTGGAAGAGTTGGAAGAAAATCCTAACTTGAGTGCTTTCCTCCAACCTAGTAGGTGAATGTAGACTTAAAGGTCAAAAACATGAGTTTAAGGCCTCATAGTAGATGACACTGAACAGGAAGAGGTGGGCTAAGCCTACTGAGGCCTCCTTGCAGTGTAGAAAATCTCAAGAAGAGCAAGCACTTCTGTAGTGGCATTCTGGTTGTGCTGTTCTTACTCTTCTCTGCTCTTCTGTTTTTGACTACCTGTATGCATATGCTGAATGATACTTCTGAACCACAGCACTGTAGCTTTCTGTGATCGTATACAGAGTGTTGATGTATCTAAATGTATTGCATTTTAATAGGGTTTATTTACTTGAAGTATTTGCAGAATAAACAGAGAACGCCTCTTGAATTAATGGTGCGGATAATCCTAAGTGTAGACTTTATTTTTTTCTGTTGAATATGCCCTGCTGAAGTCTGGATAGTTTTCATAAAATAGACTTAGCCACTTCCTAGACTTCTTATGCAAGATCTCCCTGGTACTTAAAATACCTGAGTGTCCAACAAAGAAAAAGTAAGGCGATAAGGGCTTATTTATTGAAACACTTCCAACTTTTCATTGTGGGGGGGAAAAGAGATCAGTTCCTAGTAAAACAGTCTGGGGCAGGGGAGCTTTCCAATAGTAGGATTAGGGAATTGCCTCTCTGCTTTCTCGAGTGGAGTGTATTTGAGTGGGACTAGTCTGAAATTAGTGTTTTCTCTAAGCTTCTAAGGAAGAACACCTCTCAAATAGAAAGAAGGATATGGGAAAAGGAGATATGATTGAAGGTGTTGCAGGTTAAGCTTTTCTTAATAGAAAAAGCTGAGAAGCCAGTGTTCGGTGAATGTATAAAGAGGGATTGGGAGACCTTTCATTAGAAGTTTATTTAAATTTAAAAGAATACTGGAGACATAGGCTGAAATCTACAATTCTATATGGAGTATCTGAATTTATTTGCACGAGGTCTGTGCATGAATATCCATTGTTTGGTTTTCAAAGTATTTCAGTAACTTTAGAATACAGCAAAACACTTGTGCTCCCTCTGCTGGATATGTAGCAGCTGTAACACAGAACTTCTATTTATAATCATAAAACTGCTTAGCTTCTAGTTTCACTGGAGTAACTTACAAGGTACAAGTGGGGAACTGAGAAGGGTGTTAAACTTTTTTTTACCCCTTGATAGATAAGTACTTTACAGTCTGTACTCTGAATGCATTCAGTTTTGTGGCTAATACTCTTTCAGAGAAGTTATTTTGCTGTGCAGCAGTGGTCTGCGTAATTCCCACCAGCACCAAATGTAACTTAAAGCTTGGTAATGTGCCAGTGAAAGAGGTATTAATGTGCAAAGACCTCAGTATTAACAAAGGGTTTTTATTTTTATTGTTCTTTAAAGATAAGAAAATACAAAGGGAAATATTCTCTAATTTTGAAAAAACAGGCCTTCCATCATCTCCATTTCCTTCCAGGTGTGTGCTTGGAATTAGGTTTGAGGAGGATTTTAATTTTAGCATATAGCTTGTCATGTATCAGGCTTGTCAGGCTTGGGGAATGGTCTGTTTGTTAATGGTTATAAAAATCTGGCACTTCATTACACAACCACATAACAACATGTTCTGTTTCAGGCTTGATCGTTTAACCCGCAGTTAAGTGAGAATTAAGTGATTCTCATCATTATGTGGGAACTTCTAAGATTATAAAACATCTCCCCATCCGTCTTCCCCTCTCCCCTATGGAGATGAGAAATATAGGTATCTGTGCCTAAAACGTTGTCTTCACTTGAGAGAATACACTCTTGAGTAATGAACAAGTTGTTGCATTTTGCTTATGATTATAGTGTTTGGCTTTTGCTTCATTTTTGTTGTATACATGTAGGTAGGTAATGTAGCAGGCTTAGAAGTTATATCTGCTGTCCATGACTTGATGTGACTATTTGTAGCATTATGGATCTCATTCTATTGCAGTGAGCCGGTTAGCTTTTGGTCATTAATTAGTCCATTCTGTATTTGAAAAATAGCATGGTCTAATATGAGTATTGTGGTCAACACTACCTGTCTAGTTAGCCAGGCATTATTGAACATAAAAGGTTTAAATTTTTTTGGTTGGTTTTGTTCTTGGTGGGTGTTTCTAATGTATTCAAGATAATTGGTTATGGAGTATGCATGCTATTTTGGCTTTTGGTTTTGGGTATCTGATGTTGAGAGCTGGCTTTCATGTTTGATCATGTGTTTGATGCTTGAATAGACTTACTCTCAAGATGGAGTTACTGAGACTACCTGGACAAGTGGATCTTCAAAAAGTGGACCTCTTCAGGCATTTTCTAGGGAGTCTACCAGAGTGTCAAGAAGAACACCAAGGAAAAGGGTGATGAGAGGCTTATTATAATAGAAAAGCTTTTTTCTTACTATGAGGGTCCTAGTGGCTATTTTATTCAACTGTTTTCTTTTGTTTTAAACAAACAGGTGGAAGCTACAGCACAGTTGCCTGTAGATGATGCTGTAATATCAGAGAGTACTTCCCTAGCTGACACTATACTGACTGCAAGCGACGAAACCCTAGTAAATACGATTAGTAAATATACATAATGAATCATGCAAGTGGTATTCTTCTGTAATATATCTTTACTAATAGAATCATTCTGTTTTGAAGACATTAATAGAAGACGGTCTCGCTTTCTTGAAGTAGTCTTTAAAACCGCATTCAGTCTCTGTATTAGTACCTAGTGGTGCTCAGTTTGAGATGGCACTAGGTAATCACCTAGTCTCACGTCTTTTTCGGGGGAGGGTTGAGAAGAACCATTTTAAAGGCCTTGATTTCTACTTAGTTCATTTAAGTACATGCAGAATATCTGCTTTAAAGTTTGGCTTTTTGTGTGAACTAAATAGCTTTTATGTTTCTAAATGGCTTAAAAGAAACTATTTGGAATGATAAGCAATGCATTTCCTTTGCTTATGTCAGAGTATCTGTTACATAACCTTCTTGAATTAATTGCTAACATACATACTTTTGATGCACGTAAGGGTTTTGTTGTTTGGTTCTGTTCCCCTTCCCCTTTTTTATTTTGTGTTTTTGGTTAATTCTGAGTTTGAACAATTTTGAATCTCGGCAGGTTGGCAATAGGGTGCCTGGAAATTTCAAGCGTGCAGCTCCTACACTGTCAATCAGTGAACTCTCAGACACGCCCAGAAGAACACCAAAGAAACCATTGATGACAGCTGAAGTAAATAAACTAAAATATAGATTGCTATTACTTTCTGTGAACAAGATTCTTGTGTGTGTGTGTTTAGCTCTTGGTGCAGAAGGAATGGAAGGTGTCATTGCCCTGGTGGCACAGTAGTTCAACCAGACTAGCATTGTCATATGGCATCAAAGAGAATATAAAGATTTATTATCTTCCCCTTTCAGCTTCGTGTAAGGGGGTGGGGAAGGGTGGGAGAATTCTGCTCTTTTTTTTTCCAAGCCAAGTATGTTTGTGGCTATGTCTCCATATGCTGCTATTTTTCTATACAGAGTATAACTTCATTTCTTATAAACTATTTAACTAGTTCAAAGATAGAGCAGAATTGTTACCTAGCTTTGATTTCATATATTGGCATGTTCTGAGGGGAAAAAAAAACACAACGTGCCTTAATTGAAGGACTGAAATAGTAGAATTACTTTAAAGTCTGAATTTAGAAAGCAGCTGCGAAGTCCTGTCAGTTACTAAGGGTGTGTGGGGGAATTCTTATACTCTTAGCTTATTCAAGCTGTCAAGATTAAGTATTTATTGGAGAAATGTCTAAAGCACTGGCAAGCCCATGTAATTGTATTAATGTAGTTCTATAATATTGTGCAATTGTGTGACAAGATTATGCTTGGCTAAATTTAAATGGAGTTTATTGCTCCAAGTAGTTACTGTAGATAAATGTGCATTAATACTTACGAAGCCTGCTCTACCAATGGACATGATTTATGAAGTGGTCTACTTTATTTATAACACGAGTAATGGCAGCTTAGACTTAGATGTCAAGTAGAAGGTGGTGGGAAAACTTGCTTTATTACTTCAAACTGCATATGTTTTCAGTTGGTATTTCACTGTACTATGGCATTGTTTATTACAGCAAAAAGAGACAGAGTATCCTCATCAATGCTTGTTTAATCATGTTGGCCATAAACATTCCTGTGACCTGCTCAACACAGCCATGATAGAGGTGATGGTTAAGTTTTTTTGATCATCTAGATCATTGGCTGGCAGTTGTATTTGATTTATACAATATATTCTTTATCTTAAAGGAAACTGAGGAGAGCACTGAATGCTTTAAGACACCAAAAGTGACCAGACAGCTGCCAGTAATGAAGGTTAAACCAACTTTTAAAACCCAAGACTTAAACTTCTTATATGTCACTGGGTGACTCAAATGCTTTCTTGCAAACTGCATGTGGTTATGGTCACTGAGATAGTTGTTACCTAGGACCTTATTGTTTTGAAGTTTGTTAGGCCTATAACTTTTTTTTCTTGTTTTCCTAGGTGCTGGAAAGAACTCATACAGAAGAACAAAGAGTAGAAAGGGATATTCTTAAGGAAATGTTCCCTTACGAAGTATCAACACCTACAGGAATTAGGTATTGTTGCTGCTTATGGAGGGCTTGTTTCGCAGTTATTGAAAACCTATTTGAGAAGTATCTTTAAATTACGCTGCTAGACTTCTGAGGCATGACTTCCTGCATTCTGGCTCTATGACAGGAGAGAACCAATTCTGTTTGTGTACATAGTTTCGTTGGTCAAAAAGCCTTTTCTTTATTTAAACTGGAGAGGATGGAGGGAATACAGCATTATAGTAGTAATTATTACTGTAACTCTTAGATGTTGGAGGTTAAATGGAAGGAGCTTCTCTGTGGTAATGCTTCAGTATTTGACTTGAGTTTTTGGCTAGATGCAACTGCTTTTGTCTGGCTGTTAATTAAGAAAGTCTCCCAGCACAGATTTTGGTTTTCAAAAAGAAAGCTCAAAATAACTTTCAAATACCACTTTTTCCTTTGACTACAACAGGACTCTTATTCATACATAGTATTTAAGTAAGGATAGAATAGGAAGGGCTATTAAGTTCTTTTGGAACTCAACATTTAAATAAAAACTAAAGCCCTCTGGATAATCAAGTCATAAAATTTTGACTGTCCCTTTTAGAGACTGAGGTAGTAATTTCTTCTATGTTAAGATAATGTGAAATCCACTCTTAATGTTATTTCCAACAAGTTAATTAAAATTTCAATGTGAAATGCAGTTGCATGAAATCATGCTGTAAGGAGGAAATATAAAATCAGTTACTACTTCTGTGGGCACCATTCAGCTCTGTTTTCTATTGTTTGAGGTTTATCAGACTAGTTAAATCTGTGCCCCGTTTTTTTTTTTTTATTAAAACCATGCTTGCATGCTGTCCTTGCATTTAAGGGCATGACAATATATGCAGGTTTCTTAACCCTTACACTTTGTTACCTGGCTCTGTGTGTTGACATAGCCACTAGCCATTGGTAACATTTTAATGGCCTTGGACAAACTCAGGTTTGGAAATCCTGGAGGGACTGTGTAAGTGATGAGTAAAGACAGACAGAAATGCTTCATAGTTTTATTTCCAGTCATGATATGAGTATGTGGATAGGGTAACATAAAGTGGCAGTGATTTTTTTAAAGGGATGTTTATTTGAATTCTGAATGATTAACTATTGTCTCTTAAAACTAGCACTTGTATCATTATGAAATGTTTCAGGTACCCTATTCACTGGAAATAATTTATAGTTCTTCATCTGTACTAAAAATTTTCCTGTATACTTTAGATTCCTCTTTTAAATGTACAGCACTCTTTTCTCTTTAATTAACAGTGCTAGCTGCCGTAGACCAATCAAAGGAGCTGCTAGTCGGCCTATAGAGCACACTCCTTTCAGAATGGAGGAAAGTTTCGCTAAGTATGCTCCAAGATATGGTACCTCAAGTGACATCAAGTCAGAGAAACCACCAACAAAAAAAGAACGCTCCATTCCCCTTTGGATAAAAATTCTTCTCTTTGTTCTTGTTTCAGTCTTCTTGTTTTTGGTTTATCAGTCTATGGAAACTAATCAAGGAAATCCTTTCTCTAAATATCTCAATATTGTCTCTCAAGATGGTGCCCAATGAGTATCTTTCTGAAAGGCACACCCGATTTGATCTCCTATTTTTAATTGTAGAGAACTCTTCTGCCCTCTCATCGGCTCAAGGACTACTTACAAATAATGTGATTGGAACCTGATAAATTGGATAAATGAAACAAGCTAACATTAAATGGACATCAGTAACTTTCTGGACTTTGGACTAGTAGGAGATCACTTTGCCATAGGAGTAACATTTTTTTAGATCTTTGAACTTTTGTAGGCTTTATTTTTTTAATGTGGACATCCTTTAAATTCATTTTTGAGAAACTGTATATTTGTTTTTGCAAGATCTTGGAAACTGAGAAGGGCAAACGTAGTAAAATGTGAAGCTGTGTTTTTTAAAGCTTTCTTTGTACAGAAAAGAAGTTGTACTTTTGTCTATAGATTATGGTGGAGGAAAATTCTTAACACAAGTGATAAAGGGAAATGCATTTTCATGTGTTTTTCAGTAACACTTTAACTGAATTTGGTGTTTTAGGATGTAGGGAGAGTACAACAATCTTTTCTGTAGGTTACTGTAACATTTTAGTAAATGTAACTGTAGACCTGTTTGCATCTCTGTAAGTCATAGAATCATACAAGTAACTCTGTTTAAGTGTAACATTTAAGTGTATCACTTCATTTTAATGCTTACAGTGTTGTAGGAGCTGAGTACAAATTTAATTGGCGACAGATGTTTTAGACAAACTTATTTATTAGTAATACATGTGGAAGACAAAAATTGCATCAAATATAATTTGCTACTAAAATGCCTTTCTTTGGGTAAAGGTTGTTATCTAAATTAATCTGAACTTCGACTTTGGCAGTGATCTTTTTCTTAAAAATGCGAGATCTTTCCGATACAGCTTTATGTGATTTTGAATATTCATGTAGAGAGGTATTCTCTAAGCGTGAAAATTCCATATGAAGTTTTATTCTTATATGAAGAGGGCATTGCTGCATTTTCTTTTACAGTTTCATCTTCAAAGGTGAGATTTACTACATTCATGCAGTTGAGTATTTTTCTCAGTGGAAGCATGCTGAAACACTCTATATTGTGTAACTTAGTTGAGCAGGCAGCTGGCTTCACTACTACCAATAAGGAGTGATAAGCAACAACTTCTTAAAGTGAATGTATACATTTTTGGTGTGCTTAAAATTTGCAGCATACAGATGTTCAGTCTCATTGCTTCATACAAAATTGCAATAAATCATACTTATTCTTAAAGTGCTACTTATGAAAAGCTACGAACATTAGTTAATAGTCTGTTTTTACTTTAGGTACAATTACTGTGTAGACTGTAGTTATGGGGAAAACATTACTTTCTGTGACCTTTGGGACAAACTCGGTAATTTGTAGCAAAGCAATAGTGTTTTTTTCTGTTAAGAGTAATGTTTTTTTTCTTCTAATCTGCTTTTTGAGTATTTCAAATAGCTGAACTTGTGTCTATAGAAAATTGTAACGTAAGACATTCACTTTTGGTGTCAAAATGCAGGAAAATAAAGATGTTTTTAATGTGTGTGGGTTTTCCTTACCAAAATAAATGCATTGCTGGAAAAAATCAAAAGTAAGACAATTGGTGCATCAGTGGTGTTTTGTGCTGCTAGGGTATTCCATGTTTACAAAAGTAAATAAATCCGATACTAAAAACAGAATGGTTTGCGTCAACATTTGGTAAGTGAAATATAGCACTTGCACTATAATTTTTGTACAATAATCTTTTAGTATACATTAGGCCTTGAATTTGAACAGGGGAAAAGCTAGTCAGTTTTTCAGTGATGAAGAATTTTCCTTTTCACATTATTTTTCATTCCACTTTGCTATATGTGTTAATGTGAAATATATCTTTATCTTCTCTAGTTACATGGAGTACTTTCAGTCGACCTTCTTCATGGATACTGCTAGTGTCATCAAAAAAAAAAAAACAACAAAAACACAAACCCTGCAATGCAATTAAATGTCATCATTCTTTCATTTATGCACTGTTTTGGAGAATCTCCAAAAGAAACCTTTCAACTTCAGCGTTAATTCAAAGTAGGTAAAGACTTTTCCACATAGATCACTTTAAAGACTTATGTGTGGTTCACTTGTAGTTAGTAACAATGCATCTTTCAGAAATGAGTGATCTTTTTGTACAGGGTGCAGGAGTACTATTAATGGAATTGTTGAATGTGCTTAAAGCATCCTAAATAGAGCTGCCTAAATTATACTGAATTACACTCTTCATCTCAAAGTTCTGAAGCAACAGGAACTTGTATTCCTCATTTGTTTTTCTTGACATTTAGACAGAATCGGGTTAAAACTCCAGCACCAATCACAAAATAGAGCAATTGTATTGGCTGGTAATATAATAGCATCCAAATTCTAATTACAAAGATCAGTTGAATTCTTATGTAGTAATTACTTAAATTCACTTCTAGGCTAAAGGTTACAAAACATCTGAAAAGAGTCTGTCAATTAATCAGGACAAATGTTTTTGTTGTGTATGTTATGCTGTGTTCCTCCTTCCATCATTGGTCTTCCTGTGTAGGATACTGAAAACATGGCAGATACTTATTTTCCCAGTCTGAATGAGAGCTTTCTAACATGAAGTGTACACTTCTTCCATTTAAACTGTGTGGTAGTCTGTTAATATTCACAGTTTCAGGTGTCTGGTATCAGGCTAAGAATCACTTACATGTTCCAACACTTTCAGTGTTGTAAGTTTTATTTTATGCTCCTGATTCATGGTAAGGCTGTGAGAGTTTACATGGTATATAAGACAGGAAACTCAAGGAGGGTCTTTAATTTAAAATTGAGGCTTGAAACATTAATTGCATTTAAGTAGGAAACATTGTGAAGGAACTATTTCTTCTCCAGGTTTACTTGCTAGCAGTATATCTGTACTGTCCCACAGAATACTGTTTTGTTTTTCTCATGGCTTGACCTGTGAAAGTCTCCACAGTACCAAAATCTCAATTTTTGCCATTTTTTGCCACCACCTTCTCAGGTGGTTCTGTGCATAAAATGCCTTAATTTTTATTTTATTTGTAATTAGTTTTGTGAAGTTAAACAGGAACAGGTTAGTCTTAAAAAAAAAAAACTTTAAATAACAGCTCTGTAAGAAGGCTCTTCAGCAGAAAAGATGTGTATACTGCAAATGAAACTTGTAAAATTGCGTGGTATATGTTGTGTATTTTTTTGGCTTGCTTCACCTAGCTAATCAAAGCAGATATGGGTTAGGTTGTGATGTATAACTTAAAATCATGTGTTTACAAGCTTAGATATTTCAGTGTACTTTCAGTTGTCTGTTTAGCTTTTACTTTGCATTTTTTAATATTGCTTGTTAAGTCTAATTACATTTGTCGAACACTTCCTATTACTTCTCTTTCCTCGGGGAGTGCACCAGGTGGCTTTGCACTGGTGCAACCTCAGGCTATGACAGTTGCATACAGGAATGTGTTCATACAGCATACAGCCTGAGTCAATTCAACTTGTAAAATAGTCCTAAGGTGACAAATATGCTTATATTGTGTTTATATACTTGTATGTCTGGGGAGAACTCGAATGACAAAAAAATGATAAAGATGAGGACACATAGTAGTGGATAGTAAAAATAGGAGAGGTTTTGCTACTTCCTGCGTTCTGAGGATGTGACTGCTGTAGTTCAGTCTAGTTACTTTGGATCCTGCTGAGGGAGGTGCTGTGGTGTTAGAGCTTCTTCCCTTGGGCTATGAAATCTACTCACAGATCTGACTTAATCCAGTACTGCTTCTCTGGAATCACTGTTTAGTAGCTCTTGACACTTTTACAGTGACTGAGTATGTAAAATACATGCTTACATATTTTGAAAACAGTAGGTTACCTGGAGAACAGGCTTCTAAGAGCTTTGACTTTATGGGCTTCACCAAAATGGCAGATCTGTGACAAGTTTTTGTTAAGACAAGTTCTTGTAAAACAAACTGGTCTAAAGTTCCTTCATTGTATGCTTCTGGGGTGTGTGTTAATAACAGAATAAAATGTTTACAAAAGCTTTGGGGAAATAGGAAAATACCAGTTTGGAAACCAATTTTTGGGAAACTGCTGATCTTTAAAAGATGGATTTAACTTAAAATGGCTGTCTTCTATGAATCTGAGACAAGCAGACATGAAAAGGTAGCATCTTTCAAGTCATCATCCATTACTACTTTCATTGTGATCAGAAGTCAGATTAGATGGTTCAAATTACAGGCTTTTGCAATCTTATCCCCACACATGTAGGAAAAGAAACTGCATAAAATGATAGGCATTCAGCAGGAACATGTTATCCATGTATTTTCACAGTGACATGTTAGGTTCTGCCTTTTAATAGTATTTAATAGTACAGTGGTTAGAAGTTAATTGTTAGCTAAACCCAAATAACTGGTTGTTCTACAGGCTGTAACTCTTCAAGTATCGGTACTGGTTATGCACACAAATTGCCACTGTGAATATAAATATAGTCACATGTTTCATGCTTTACGGTTGGAAGGAGCAGAGGTTTTCTATATGTTTAAAAATCAGACAAGTTTACAAGAATTGCAGTCCTTTATATGTAACTTCAAGGTAACAGCCCAAGTCTCAGCTAATAACCTCCAAACATGACTAATTAAAAATAAGTGTCAGTGTTTGGCTTTCACTTTCAGATAAAAGATATTGCTATGAATTTAGATGCATGTGAGTAGAGTCGAACAAGTAATGGCAAAAAGAACAATTCTGGCCTGTTGTCCTTGCTGTCAGTGTCAATGAAGGGAACTGTACTTCAGGTTCTCAACTGGTTGCTAGATGGAGCTATTAAAAGAATGCAAGTTTCAGCTGACCTTTTCCTACTCAGCAGCTGGAGTCTAGTTTACTCAGGAGGGAGTTAGCCAAGTGTGTTAGTTCTGTGACAGTGCTGTTGTGCTTGTCGTTTTTGATACTCTGACTGGATTAACATTAATTGGGAAACAACTGGAGCAAGGTGTAAGGGTAGCATAGCAGCTGGTCACACAGCTGGAAGTTCCAAAGGGCTATTTCTAAGTAAGGGTGTGCTGGTCGTTATGTAACAGCTTTGAGCCCTTTATTAGGGAGGCTGTGCCCGGTGCTTTGTCCTGTGTGCTTACATGAAGGAGCACTATGAGGGAATAGATGCCTTGAGGTTAGGGAAACCTTTGAGTCTTTTACCTCTTCAGTAACTAGAGAGGTGACCTGTGTTCTAGTTTTGTAGCGTGTAAATCCACTAAAATGAGAAAAGAATACTAGAAAATTATCCCGGGGCCAGCACCGGGACCGCCGCCAGAGCCGCGCCGTGGTGGGCCGAGGGGCGCCGCGCGCGCAGCCCGCGCCGCCGCCCTTCCTGCCGCGGGGGAGGGGGCAGCGGGCGCCTCAGCGCGGTGCCGGTTCTGGGTGCGCCTCCGCCAATCGCCTGGCGGCTTCTTGGGCCCTGGCTCCTCCCCGCGGCGTCGGCGAAGGACAAAGTCACCGCGCCGGGCCCGCGGTCAGCCTCTGCGCCCTGCCGCCGGCCGAGCAGCGGGCCGCGCGCCGCCGCCATCTTAGGAGGTGAGTGGGGCTGGGGGGGGGGGGTGAGGGGGGATAGGGACGAACCGCCCGGCCCCGGGCTCGCCGCTCGCCGCGGCCGCCTCGCCTGTGCCGGGCCCGGCCCTCGCCGCCCCGCTGCGCTCTTGTCGCCCGCCGCAGGTCGCCATGTTCTCGTCCATCGCGCCGCTCGCCCGGCTCAACCCGTTCTACGCGCCGCACTTCCAGCTGGTGCAGGACGGCCTGAGGAAGCGCACGGAGCCCGCCGAGGCGCCCAGCACGCGGCGGAGCTTGGCGGCCGCGTCTGCAGCCGAAGGTGAGAGCGGTGGGGAGGGACGGGGGGGACGGGGGAGGGCGGCGGAGCGGGTCCCGGTGCCCGTTAGGGCGGCGGAGAGGGCGCAGCGGCCCCCGGGCTGGGGAGGAGCCGGCGCTGGGCCTACGCGCGGCCGCTTGGAGGACGAGGAAGGGCACGGGCGGGGGAGGCGCTGGCAGCCCGCAGCGCTCCGCGGGCGGCGTGTGCTGGGTGGCACCAAGGGCCCGGCGTTACCGGCAGAGGACACGAGAAGGTCCCGGGTCCGGGGCGCATGCAGGGGCCCCGATGGAGCCCCCCTGGGGCTGGGAGGCTGCTTCATTTAGCTCCGCTGGGCCTGCGGCCTCGGGGGCAGAGGCTGTAGGCCCGTGCTTCTTCCTGAGGAGAAGAGGAAGCACCATGTGAATCGGTGAATCTGGATGGAGATTAAATATCCTTTTTATCTGTTGTCTTTATTTTTTTTTTTCTTTGAGTGTTTATTCACAGCTGGATGCCTGAATGTTCATATGCGTTCTGTTCTCCTTTTTTTCCTCCTTGTAAGTTCAGTAGATGTAGGGCGTACTCCAGATAGCTGTTACATAAGATGCAGTGATGCTCTTTAGGTTCAAGTCCAAACACTTCCTGCATTCTTTCATTATCACAGTCATGACTTCAAAGGTCAGACCTTGACAATACTCCCAATAGTGAAAGTAGATGTCAAAATTCAAATTCTTTAAAACTTTTGATAGGAAACCATCTGTCTGGTTTTTATTTAAAAAAAAAAAAACAACAAAAAACTATAAAAGGATTTCAATAAGATGCATGTTCTGAAATACTATAACTGTTTAAGTA